AGGCTGGAGGAGCAACACCTGAAGGACGGCAGCCTGCCAAGAAAACTCCACCGCCGCCGCGTGCGCGCGCCTCAATTAAGACAGAAGCCCGGATTGGTTGTGGGGTGGTGCGGGCTCTCCGTGTCGCAGCGGCGTCATTCAGGCTCACAAGAAAGCTGCTCGCGCATTTGTATGCCGCTGCAGGTCTTTGCCCTTCCTTGTTTTATTTACCTTTGGCGATGCTTCTCAGGAGCTTTTTAACAAAAAATACCGCATAATGGTTTACAATTAAAAAAAACAACGCAAATTTCATCGACGTCTCATGTGGGTCCTGTGGGGCTAAACTGAAATGAAATTTGCAAGATTTTATTCTTTAACATTTCTTCCGTTAGAGGCACAGAATATAACAATTTAACAAATGTGAAATGAAACACACATGATCTAAATCAACAGCTGAACCTTCTGGTCTTTTTGTCCAAAGATTTTATCAACTTTATCCTTAATTAAATGTTTCAGCACCTCAGAATGCACATAAAGAGATAGTTATTACTGGTTAGAGTGTCAGACCACAATAACAATACACATTAAAAAAAAAACAATAGTACAGAAATTGGTTTTCTGTCTCTTTACAATTTTGCCATGCATATTTATTTATTATATTCAAAAGTTATAAAAAGTTGAATTACAACTTCCCAGGAGAAGTACACTAACCACCCTAAGCACTGTGGTATGGTCCATTATATATCTAAATAAATAAATCCAAGCTTTTCTTGAATAGTGACTCCACCCATACAGGGCAAAACCAAGCAGCTCATGGGGGAATAACACACATATCCAATTAAAAAATGGGTGTGTGCATGTATGTATATATGCACATACATACATACATACATACATACATACACACACACAGAGAAAGAGAGACTGACTTCTAGTCCTGCTTTAGACACAAAATGAACTGAGTGACTTTAGGCCAGTCACTTTCCCTCACTCCTAGGAAAGACGTAATGGCAAACCATTTCCAAAAAACCTTGCCAAGAAAACTGCAGCATTCGCGATGACTCAAAAATTGACTTGAAGGTACACATTCCAATCCTTGGAAGAAGGCAGTGACAAACGACTTCCAAAAAATATTGTCAAGAAAACTGCATGGACTTGTCAATGTAAGTGCCAGGATTCAAGACTAACTTAAAGGCACAAATTTGAAAAAACAAAAACAAATGCACAGTAACATACCCAGGTGAGAGCTGTCCCATGATACTTTGCTGTTTGAGACAAACAAATTGGTATGATCCCCCCCCCCCATATACAGTAGTGGATTGATCTGGCTGTGGAATCTCTAGTTATCTGTATGCGTTAAGTTATAGGTTTGTTTCAACTTAGTACTTTAAGTGAACCTCGCTATTGTGGTTCACAGAGCATGGTTCATGGCTTAGCATGTTGTACAAGCTTATCCAACTGTAATTTATTCAATAAACTAGGATTAAACAAATCATAAATTTGTCAAGAAAATGTCTGGTCATATTAACCTGATCTCATTATTTGACTAAGTAGCTTCCTTACTTAATTGTGGAAATGCTGTAGCCATGACATTCTGATTAGCAAGCTAATCAAGCTGATTAGCAAAATATATGGGCTGAATGGCATATCTATTGGATACACAGCTGACAATTATATTTAAAGAATACTCACTTGGATTTTTGGAATGAGGTATTAAATGGCGTGCCACAAGATTCGGTCCTGAGTCCTGTATTTGTAACATTTTTGTTAAAGGGCTTGGATGAAGTGGAAATAATGCTTATCAAATTGGCCAATGATATAATCTGAGTGGGACAGCCAAATAAACCAAAAACTCAGATTGGTCTTGATAGAGAATGGACTGAATAGCATAATAAAATCTAACAGACAATGCAAAAGCTTTCATTTAGGAAATAGAGTTCCAATACACTGAGTTAGGATGGGGGATATCTGGCTCTGTGAAAAAAATCTTGGAAAAGTTGATTTCAAACTGCATCTGAGTCAGCAGTATGATGTTGCTACAAAAAAGGCAAATGCAACATTAGATTGCATCAAAAGAGGTAGTTTCCAAATCACAGGAAGTAATAGTTACATTTTGTAATATGTTGGTGTACTGTTTCCAGTCTCTATGACTTAGTTTACTCCAGCAGAGGTCAAAAGTCATGAAGTCATTTGCTTGTTTCTTACCAGCAAGACCTGTAAAAGACCAGCACAGCATTGCTCTTTTACCACAGGCATGCACAGATTATCTTTCAAGACTGTTTTTAGTTTGTTTAAAGTTCAGTCATTCTGTAGTGTGTTTGGTATAGTTGCCTACCCAGATGGCCAAGGATATCTACTTCTGGGGCAGAAGAGTTTGTCAGAATCACCTCAGGTATTATCTCCAGTTGTAGGCTCTACAGCTTAGGAAAAATTCCTATAAAGGGTTTTTAAATGATTTGGGAATGTTTATTGTTAAGACAACTTGAATGGAGATATGTTGCTATTCTGCTAGTACCTGAAGGTACATCACACAGAAGGATAAGGCTTGTTCTCTATTGTCCCAGATTGCAGGATTCAAAATAATGGCTTTAAATTATAGGAAGACAGATACCAAATGAATTTTAGAAAAAGCTTCAACAGCTGTATTTGTTACTTAGCAAAGGAAAGACCACCCTCTGTCAGGGAAATTTTAATGTTGATTCCTGTTTCAAGTAGGGAGTTAGACTCAGCTTAGCCTTCATCTAGGGGCCAGTTTGGTGTAGCGGTTAATGCATCAGGCTAGGAACTGGGAACTGTGAGTTCTACTCCCCGCCTTAGGCACAAAGCCAGTTGGGTGACCTTGGGCCAATCACTCCCTTTCAGTCCTAGGAAGGAGGCAGTGGCAAACCACTTCTAAAATCTTGCCGAGGAAACTGCAGGGGCAGTCACCAGGAGTCAAAACTGACTCGAAAGAACAAAAAATAAAGGCTTCATCCAGTTCAATATTTATAGAGATTATGTGTGTGAACCCTCTTTCAGGTTCTGTACAACTGTTGTAGCAGGTCAGTTCAGGCAGCCTAGGGCAGATTCAGTTCACAGAATATACTGAGCTAAAATGTGGTGTCCTTACTTGCAGTTCAATGTGTTATATTAACCCTGCCATGTAGTTTACTCTATAAACCACTGTTAAGTTACCCATGGCTTAGCATGTTGCATTAACACAGTTGCTGTATGGCAAATAAAGCCCAAATATCCAGTGGAGACAATGGATGTGTGTGCAGAACATCCTTAGCCCAAACCAGGCAAACCACATTCTGGCCTAATGCTTTATGTTCATGCACTCTGAATTGTGTAATAAGTTCACAATCAATGCTGCAGCCCTAAAGATGTGTATCTGGGAGTAAGCCCCTTTTAACAGAAGGTGGTTACTGTTGTAAGGATGTGCAATAGTACATTCTATGCATGAGCAATTTAGTGCATGGAATAGACAGTTTGGGTGGTTCATGCCCAGACTAAAACTCATGTGTTTTAACTGGTTGTAGATCCACACTGTAAATTTTAGGCAGAAATATTTTGGGGTGGGAAGAGAAGAGCATCAGTTACTGAGTATAGCAATGGCTAAGGGGTGATAGGAAAATGAAAGCACCAGGAAGATAAGGGAAGGGATAGCTGGATGTACCACACTTTAACTATGATGTGTGGTGCTATCTAAGGGTAAGTGAGGAAAGGAAGGCACTGGAAAAATGGCCCACCTTATCATCCTCTGATTTGCCCAGCAGCTTCCTTTTCCCATCTTCTCTTAACCAGAACCACTGCCATGTGTTGCCACCAACCTTGAATGTAAGTGCAACATATGCAGTAGGCTCGTCCAGGCTGGTTGGCTATGCTGTGCTTGAATCCAAGAGTGGCAACAATACACAACAGCAACCAGGGTGTGGTCCAAAAAGGAAGATGCTGAAAAAAAAAACAGTGGGCTAAGAGGCTGAGAAGAGAGAGGGGCAAGGAGCACCAGCCTTTCCCTACACAGCTTGTGGCAAGGAGTGCACCATTGGGAGACTCGAAAGAACAGGTTAGGGATAGATCATCATGAAAAAAATCTATCTCTGTGATCGCTAGGAGTTGAAAATGACTTGATGGCACATAATCAAATCTGAAAAGAACCAAACTGTTCCAGGGTATAATTCAGTTGAACTGTGACCTGCCTGCAATGATTCAGCTGAACTTCCAAGTCACAATGTGTTTGATTCATGTTTTGATTTCATGTAGACCCCTAAACATACCCAGCCTTATCTTGTTAGGATGTAATCCTATACCCATTTACTTGGCAGTAAAACCTATTGAATGTAACTGGATTTACTTCTTACTATATAGAATAAGGTTTTGCAAAGCTTTGAAAGGATGCTTAAGTGAAACACCCCTGCTTTGTTAAATAATGAAACCCTCCCCTCCAAGAGCAAAGAGAAGTTGTCACGTTGATTCACTTTCTGGCACTCCTAACCCATCCAGCCACCAGCAGGCTCCCAAAATCATACAAAGTGCCTTGCAAGGCATATCCCATCATTGCTGTGCTTCACCTCTGTAGCACAAAGTACCTCACTATGGCAAAATACAAATGTCTTGCATAGGATCCTAGTATGAAATGCTCATATGCAAAGGCAGAAATTTTGAAACATTAGAGACTAAACAATTTATTCCAAAGGGTTAAGTGTTGCTTATGTTATGGTATGATCTATTTTATGCAGTGGTTTATGAAAGTGGTGGCCAGCTCGCCCCAAAACTGGGCCTATCCTGCTCAGGCAAGACAGTCCAGGGTAAATGCAATGAAAATGGCTTTCACTGGTATTACAGTTAACTTTTTCATCCCCTCCCCAACCAAGGACATGGGAACAAAGAGGAGAATGCCTTAAACTGTTCTAGTACTTTCTTTTATTAGCGGAAAGTGCAAGTCCAGTAATTGGTAGTCAGTTTGCAACAACTTAACTATCTAAGGCATGCTAGCAAGTTACAATCCCCCGAACAGAAACTGGCAACCAAAATGTCTGCTTAGTATATATTTCATTTGAAAACATGCAACAATAAAGATAAATATATAAGGGTGCCAGGCTTAGAGAAAAAGAATAGGATTTTCAGAGTTGAGTTCATCCAAAATGTCAATCAACCTGCATGGGAAAGTAGTTATGAAAGGAGCCAGGCAAAGCTTTGAGCACATCCAAACTAAAATCAAAATTTTGACATAGTCTGCATAACTACTTACTGATCAGGGAGAGAGAGAGGGGGGCCTGTGTATGATTCTTTGCTGAGTTCTGAACATTTCTCAGGGAAAGACCTGCCATCTCTTAAGTTTTATTTGGGGAGACTCTGAAACAAAAAGCCTCTAGCAAGCTTCTTCCTGTGTAGTTAACCTCACAGGGGAAGGAAGTTGTGCTCATACAGAAATTTAGTCAATGTGTCTTCTGAGTTTTCTAATTAGAGAGGAAAGGAATTAGGTTGCAATCAACTGTGTTTCTGTTCTGCTCTAATGGGGATCTCTGAAGCTTTCTTTGCTAGAGGTGCCTGTTACATTGTGTTGATCCATAGTGATCAAATAAATTACAATTGTGCATGTAACATACTAAGTCAAAGCTAACTAAATCACACAACATGCATGCATACTACAGTACAGGTGTCCCATATCTACAATCTCCTTTTCCATAGTTTCAAGTATAGATAAATACAAAACAGTGTTCATTAGCTGCAGGATGTTTACAATTTTAGATGCATGGTTTTGATCTGTCCACCATTTTGCTTATGCACAAAAATACACATCAGACCTCCACCCTACAAATTCCTATTGATCCTAATGCTCTGACTTTGTGTGTGCGCCTTCAAGTCAATGCTGACTCCTGACAACTACCTGGACTAGTCCCTGCAGTTTTCTTGGCATGATTTCAGAAGTGCCATTGCCATTGCCTGCCCTTTCCTGCCTTCTCCTGCCTTCTGGTTCCAACTTCCAGCCCAACTTCCAGTTCTGACTTCCGGGTCCATCTTGTTCATATCGGTAAAAGTTTGCAACATTAAAGTTTGCAAGTAGGGGACTGTCTGTACCAGAAGTGCAACCACACTGCCTGATCTTGTCAGAAAGGTAGACGTTATCAGAGATCAGGTGGTCCCTCAAAATAACCAGGTTCTGTGCATGAAGAGCTTTGCAGATGGTAACCAGCACCTTAAATTGCACCCAGAAGCCAAGTGGCAATCAGTGCAGTTCGTGGAACAATAGAGTCACATGAGCATATCATGGAGTGACCATTACTGCCCCTGCCACCTTGTTCTGCATCAGCTGTAGCTTCCAAGTGATTTTCCAAGGCAACTTCATATACAGCACATTGCAGTAGTGCATTTGTGAGGCAATTAGGGCATGAGTGACTATCTGGAAGGCCTCCTGATCCCAAAATAAACAAAACTGGTACACTAGATGGATCTGTGCCAACATTCTCTTGACCATAGCTGCCACCTGCTCCTTCTGATTGTGCACCAGTCTTGAATGGGGAAGTACTACCCCATCCAAGACAAGAGATGGAATCTCCCCAGGACTGTGGGTGGGGTGGGGAGCGAATATCCACAGCCACCTGGTCTTGTCAAGATTGAGCCTGAGCTTGTTACTTCCCATTCAGATTCACACAACTTCCACACCCTGAGACAGGACATTGACAGCAACACTTGGACAGTCTGGGGTCAAGAAGTACAATTGAGTTTTATTAGGATACGAATGATGGAAGACCTCACCCAGTAGTTTCATACAGATATTGAACAGGAGGGAGGAAAACATCAAGCCTTGTGGCCATGCACTGGGCCTCGCATTCTCAATCCCTGCAGTCATTCCAGAAGGATACTATGATCAGTGATATCAAAAGCTGCTGAGAAATCAAGGAGCACAAGGTTAGATGCACCACACCCATCCTGGCTCAGCCAAAGGTAATCAGCAAGTGCAACCAATGTCATTTCAGCACTGTATCTTAGCTTGAAACCTACCTGGAATGTATCCAGATGATTCACTTCCTCCATTATTTTCTAAAGCTGTTGCCCAACTACTTTCTCAACCTAAATCTTCTCTTGCCTAAATCTTCTCTACCTTACTAAAAAGGGAAAGTTGGAGACCAAATATCTTTTAGCATTTTGTTGCTCATTTATTAATTATAATAAATGCAGTTATAGTGCAGTTATAGAGTCAGGCTAATATGCCAGGTTCACCTGTCACATGAGCCATCAATCACGATTTATAAATCACAATGGCTGAATTCATTATCATGATAAAGACAAAAATCAAACAAGCCATGTTAAGACTTAGCACAATTTGTGAACCCCGAAACTATGATTTATTCAACAAACCACAGCTTAGTATAACATGTAAACCCATCCATTGAAAAAGCTCTCTAAAATATACGGAATAATCCCCTCGGTTAGATACTGATGCATGTATTGTCCGTGACATACATGGGTTGCCTGCCTGCCTGCCTGCCTGCCTGCCTGCCTGCCTATAATAATAACAGAAAAAGAAAAGAAATAAAACACAAAAACAATTATAATGCAGATACGTTCTCAAAAGAGAGAGAGAGAGAGAGAGAGAAAGAAACAATGCATAAAAATTGCTTTAAGTGAAAAAATCCACAGAAACCCCCCCCAAAGTGTAAGATATCATTGTAACAGTTACAATTCTATATGTACTTATCTAATGTAAGTATTATTCAAGTACATATATATTTATTTCTAATACATTGGTATAACTATCATTTGTCATTAACCTACTGTGTTTTGTATAAACGAATTCCATATTTCATTATACTTGTCCATACAAAGGTCTATAGGCAATCCGCTCATAGGTGGCAAGCGCAATCAGGTCTTCAATCCATTGAATAAATGGGGCCATACATTTATCTTTCCAGTGCTGCCATATCAGTCTTTTGGCCATAGTAAGGGCACAGAGAATCCATTTACGTTGCCAGATGTCAAATTCTATGTATGGTATATAGTTCAAAAGAATATTATCCTCTGAAAAATTTAGCTTTTGTTGCACATTCATGTTTATATACTCTACTCCTTTCTCCCCAAATTTAGTGAGTATAGGACATTGTAAAAACATGTTTTAAAGAAGCATTATCCTTCTTACATCTCCAACAAAATGCTGTCTTAGACTGACCTTTTCTATTCAAATGTAGTGGAGTCCAATAAATTCTAAATATTATTTTTGTTGTATAAGTTGTAGTTTAAGGTCCATTGATACTCTTGGTATAGAAATTAAGATACTTTCCCATTGTCCAAGCAATATAGGAACCTCTAATTCTTTGTTTTACTCATTTCTTACATCTGCATATCAACTTTATAGCCAACTTTATATTGATGCCAGTCACACATGGTCATGGATGTGGCTTTGCATTGGTCAAACCCCACTTCAAATACTAAGTCCATATTCTAGAAATTCAATTTAAGAAGGAGTTAGACAAATTAGAACTGATGCAAAAAATGCAACAAGGATGATGCAGGACTGAAAACTAAATTCTTCAAGGAAAGAATGAGGAAACTGGGCACGTTTAACCTTGAGAAAATCATACCAAGGAGGGACATAATAGCACTCTTCAAGTATCTGCAAGAAGGTAATGATCTGTTCTCTATCATTCCAGAATACTGTACAGAATATGGAAACTTTCTTAAATTTCAGGAAAGCAGATTCTAGCAGAATGATAAGAAAAACTTTCTGTAAGAACAGTTCAACACTGGAACAATAGATAATCTTTTTTAAAACAAATAATTTATAATTATTTATTTAAACAAATAATTCTTCTCAAGAACTCTTGGGAAAGTCCTTGGTGCAACTCAGAAGCACCTGGTTTATACATCATACAACACTATAATATGTTTGTAGTTTTGGCTTAGCATGTTGTGAAAACTCAGCTACTATGATTTTAAACCATGGTTTATGACTTAGAATGATGTGTGAACTCAGCCAATTGTGCCCTATTCAATAAATCATAATTAAGCAAATTATTGCTTACCATGATGGGTGAATTCAATCATTTCAGCATCTAAGGATCTTATTCAAATGTCTGTAATCCCAAATCCAAGCCAAAATAGCAATAAATGCAGTTCACTGCTTAAACAGCCATTTCTTTCTGCACTGTCCAATTTTGAGTATATGTGTTTATTTTCTTTACATTCTCTCTTTGAATTGTTCTGGAGAAGTGAAACATTTGCTCACAATTCTGTGACTCAGATGTTTACAGGTAGTCAATTCTGTGACTAATATAGATAGTCAGTTTAAGAACAAGTTCTGTTCGCAAGGTCTGTCCTTAAGTTGAATTTGTATTAAGTCGGAACAGTATTATTGTATAATACTGTATAAGTAGTATTGTGTAATTAATTTGAACCATTGTATATTTAACTCAAATTTTGCTGCAATAGGCTCTGTTCTTAACTATGGGTTGTCTGTAAAATGGGTGTTCTTAAGCTGGGGACTACCTGTAAAGAAATGGTCCTAATACAGATTTTGACATTTTTCTTATGACCAATATAATATTTTTCAGTGCTGTGTCACTTAGTAAATAAGCATCTGATATCAACCTAGAAATCTGAAGTCTTATTAAAATATAACTGACTAAAAAAAAAAACTGATGGAACTGGGCTCTACTAAATGTAAAAACACAATCCTAGTGAATTTATTTGATGCATTATATTTTTCACCACATGATGTCAGGGTAGCCACAATGAAACTGCACGTTGGCAAGGTGAACAAAAGTATACATGTATAATATACAATATAATATAACATAATATAATAAGAATACATACAGGAATGTCTGCAGGGCGTGGTCAAACAAGTCAAGATGGTGACCATGATGGAGCAATTGAAGCTTTGCCTGGTTTCTCTGTGTGTCACATGTGCAACACACATAAAAACTAGGTGGAGCTTCAATTGCACTGTTACGTTATATAGTGTTTTTGCACTATATCTTGCCTTTTTTTGACCACACACTGCTGACATCCCTGAATACATGAATGGATTCCATGTTGCAATTATTCTGAACTTAAATATACATCTAAAAATGCTTCATATATGATATGTGCTTTTGTACTGAACAGCAATTCTAACTCTTTGCTGCATCTTGTGGTCACCCATATTTTTGCAGCCCAGTTCTAGAACCTTAATATATGGTGTATTTTCCTTACCTGACTGTGAGAGATGCTGGAGGACAGAGCTGGGGAAATCTTAGTTGAGAATGAAAGAAAATGGAACAATTTTCCATCATATCCATTATATTCCCCAGTCTCTGCCCAAGCTTATCAAGGAATCAGCCAATTGTGTTTTGGATTAACTACAATTATTCATCAATCAAAAAACCACTACAATATTCAGCGTTTTCCTAAGACAGTTCCTGAACTTTCACATTGCAGTAAATCATAATTGAATCATGTTTGGTGAATAAATCACAATAAAGTCAAACGTAAACAAACCATATTATGGCTTAGTATGGCCTTAAACCATGATTTATGGTTTAATATTATGTGGGAACTAAGCTGCTATACCTTCTTCAGTTAAAGCAAATCATGGTTTAATGCAATGTATGAACCTCATTTATACAGTATCTGCGTATTAAGTACAATTGGAATGCTTGTTACAAATGGCTGTTATAAGGTCTCAGCAACAGGGGACAAGTCAGGGCTACCATATCTGGGCTGCACTAGATGGCAGCAAATAGAGTTTCTGTATCCCACTGCTACCATCTCATAGTCATCCAGCTTTTGTAGCCCAAAACTTGTAGCCCTAAGACAAATCCTATTACATTTCCAGTGAGTTTGTGAAATTCTGTGGTCCTTCCATTTGTGGAATCATTTTCAAGCTAGGAAAACTGAGAGTCATTACAAGACATTACTTCTGCCCCCAAGAGTCCCTGGTCAAATGGCAGCGATGAAAAGGCTGGATAAGCCTCCTGCCTAGGTTTGCCAGGAAATAATGATTTAGCCTGAGGGAGGGGGAGCTTCTTGGCCAATCAGTTTGAAACTCTCCTTTGAACCTCTTAATAAGTGTTGATAATCCCTAAGTATTTGTTGGCATTTGAAGCAGTAAATTACTGTGTGCTTCGCCATCAGAAAGCCAAGCTAAGTTTACTCTGGAGCTTGTGGGATCAGGTATCAGCTGGAGTGTCTCTGTGTATGGCTTTCTTCTTTCCTTCTCTAGCTTTGCAGATCCTGGCTGATTTGTGTAGCTCACCTGGAGCCTCATAAACCACATGCTGTGCTAGTTCTCTTCTGGATGAGGGGAAATGGATCAGAATGCAAAACAAGCTCTTTGTTTTCCTGTTGATAGGGGAGAGGCCGGTGGAACGGCACGGACTGTTAGTCATCTATACCTTGATGTACGAGGACTTGAGGAACAATCATAACAATCTCAGAAATTGCCTTAGACTTTATAGACGTAGTTGCTGAAAGTAAAAGTTGTCAAAACAAAATTGGCAACAAACATGTTTGATTATTGTGTCAATGTCAGGGTTCAAGCATCCATAAATATGAGCAAAACCTGAATATAAATAAAAGCAGCTGGAAAACAATAGTATTGTGTTTGTGTATGCATTTTCTACACTGCATTATTTTCTGTTTATGGAATTTTAAAAGATTAGAAAATATATTATCTTTAGCTATTGGCCTATTTGCTAGCTGTAGTTCACAAACAGTTGGGGTCAGTTGTTAAATTGTTAAATGTCATATGCTCAAAAGGGGTTCCTCAGTGGGTTATAATGGGGATTAGTGCTGTAGCATCTCTATGGAAAATATGAGGACCATTATCCCCAGTAGTTCCTGCCCAGATGTTAGCTCTAATGGAGTATTTCTATAGGCGAATGAAACAGAGAAGGCAGGAGAATTAACTCTGCATTTCCACATATAAGCTAAACAAGTAAAAAATTGTGCTGGCATTGTAGGTGTGTGTGGGGGTGTCTAAGCAGTTTACTGTGCTCATCAGCACTGGACCATCAATGAATTGGAAAGGAATAATAAACTGAAAAACTGACATCTAAACAAAAGACTGCCATGAAAACTTAGCCTTACATTTCTCCATTAGATATATTGGTTGGCTGGAAACCCAAGGATTTTTTTGTAAAATCCATCATGGCTGGCCAAGATGTCATAATTAAAAGTAAACAGCAAGGAAATTTCTTCCCCTTCCTTCTCCATATCAACAAATATTTTAATAAGTTTAGAATCCAGATTTCCAAGATGGGCTCCCAATGATATAGGCTAGGTAATAATGTGAATCCCTTGCATTCTTGCAGTTGTCACCCAACAGGACCTCAAAGGACTTTATAGACTGTGAAGTGGAATTCATCCCTCACATGCTTGCAAGAACATTCTTTGGCAGAGTCCCACAGCATTTAGACTCTTTAGTAACTACTTCAACTAATACTCTCTCACCTTTAGCAGGGCTGTCAGTGAGCAAAATCTAACAGGCACTATATCAACCAGTATGCCAAGAGCTCCTAATATGCAATTGTCCTTACTGAGGAAGATCACTATTGGATAAAACACTCAGTTTCTGCAGAACATTACTCTGGAGCAGGAAAGCTCTGAAGGGCAGAACCAACCACTGTTAATAAAGAACATTAGCAAAGACTTTGCTCAGCTCGGGTATAACTTGTCTGAAGAACCAAACTCCTTTTATTCCATTCTTCTCTTCAGTTCTCACTTTTTTAGGCAGCAGACTTGAAGATAAGTCCTCTCTCTTTTTTCAATCTTCTATGCTGATTAAGAAGACATAATTGTCTAAAATAAAAATACAATAGGTAAATAGTTGATAATAAACAGTACCACCCCACTAATTTTGAATCACCCCACTAATTTAGTATCACCCCACTAATTTTGAATATGTTCAGCTGAAACTAACGCAAACCCAATATTTTTTTAAGTATCTAAAACAGAAAATCCAAAGGATGTCTACCAACAGCAATAATTAACTTAGAGTTTTTCATTCAATAGAACTTTTGCACAGAAGATCCCATAGATCAAATTGTACTTTATGCACAAATTAGTAAGGAATTGCCCTTTTAGAAGAGAACAGTTATTAGAAAAGGCAATTAGGAGCAAAGAAACTTTGGCTCTGTCCTCATTAGCCATTTATATCAACACTAGCCTCACATGGAAGCACCCCTGGAATATCACAGAGGCACAGAGGTTGTCAGAAATGGGGTTGGCTAGCCCCTTAGTGGCCTGGCGTGGCCTCCATCGGCCTCTTGGATTTTTTATCTTTTTTCTATCTGTGTAAGTGTGGTTCTTTTTTATAGCTTTTAATTATGTGTTTATGGTTTTAAGTTGATGTAAACTGCCCAGAGTCCCCCATTGTGGGGAGATGGGTGGGGACAAGTCTACTAAATAAATAAATGAATAAATACATTTTACAATTTCTGTTCCAAACATGTGCAAGTCTGGGCCCAACTCAGCAACATGTTTTGTTCCACATCTCCTCAAAAGCAGTTTTTCCACTAGCTTGTGCTCTCCTGAGGTATGCATGCATGCATGCATGCATTAACAGTTATTAATTAATTAATTAATTAATTAATTAATTAAACCAATTTATATAGCTGCCCATCTTACCATAGGCAACTCTGGGCAGCATACAACAAAGCTAAAAACAATAAATAAATACATTAAAAATATAAAAAGCAAAACAAAACAGAGAATAAAAGGATGTTATAAAACAGAATAAAAGGATATTAATTTCATGTAATTTTATTAAAAATTTTAAAAATGAAAGTAAAAATTAATACAAACTATTATGAAGTAAGGAAGAAAAAAGAAAAAGAAACAAATCAAAGAAAAAGCTAAAAGTGCAAGAAAGAAAAAAATAGAAAAGAAAAAAGATACAAAGAAGTGGCTTCTGATCTTCTCTATAGCAATTATAAATACAATTATAAATTTACCTCTTTTTCTAAAGTTACATCATGACTCTCTTCTTTCTATTATCTATCCTGTCTAATCATCAAAACCATAAATTTATATATTTATTTATCGTATTTATATAGCTGCCCATCTCACACAAAGTGACTCTGGGTGGCATACAACAACTAAAAAGAATAAATACATAAAAAGATTCCACAAAGTGGGTGCACAGCAGAGAAGGCCCGCCTCCTGGGACCCGCCAAATGTAATTCCCTGACAGGTGGGGCCCGCAGGATGCCTTCTCTGCCAGACCTGATGGGACGGGCAGATGTAATCGGGGAGAGGTGGTCCCTCAGGTAACCCAGCCCCATGCCATGAAGGACTTTAAAGATCAAAATCGGCACATTGAATTGGACCCGCAATTGGACCCTTATGAACTTATAAATTATAAGTTCATTTTTTCTGTTTTATGCAGAAAGTCCATAAGGGCTTTCCAATCAGCAATAAACATAGATATTGTCTTTCCTCTAATCAAATAAGACAATTTGGCCATCTCCACAAGTTTCGTCATCTTCACCAACCATTCCTCCACTGTAGGTATTGCTAAATGTTTCCATCTTTGTGCATACAATAATCTCATTGCAATTATCATACACAAAAACAAAGCTCCATGACTTTTTTCCAACTGTTTGTCCATCAGTCCCAAGAGGAAAACTTCTGGTCTCAATTGTATATTAATCTTTAAAATCCTCTGAATCAGTGTATGTATTTGAAAATTTTCTAGCTTTTTTACACATCCACCAACCATGATAAAATGTCTCTTCTTGTTGTTCACATTTCCAACATAAATTTGAAGTGCCTTTATACATTCTGGACAATTTCTCTGGTGTCATATACCAACGGTACATAATTTTATAAAAATGATCTTTAAGATTATAACACAATGTAAATTTCAATCCTTTCAACCAGATATTTTTCTATTGTTCAATCTGTACATTATAACCAACATTTTTGGCTCACTTTATCATACATTCTTACACTTGTGCTTCTGTTTCAAATTTCAGTAAACGTTTATACATTTTAGCAACTACATGTTCATCATTTGTACACAATTCTTTTTCAAAATCAGTCTTACAAAGTTCAATACCATAAACTCTTGCATTAACAGCATTTCTAATCTGTCCTAATCACAGACAACTCTAGGCAGCAAACTGCAAAAACAAAATTCCAATAAAATAATCTAACTGAGCAAATACAGTAAAAACTTGGACTGGTGCTCCCAATCAGCTGAGGCCAAAGGCACAATGTCATAAGACGCTTCTACTCGCTTTCAGAATGTAAGGAAGGCTGGGGCCATACATGCCTCAGGACAAGGAGTTCCAAAAAGTGGGGGCTACTATTCCTTGTCTACCTTGGTAAGCCCTCTCTTGATGACTGGACTGAATGGGCTCATTCTACTCTGGCAAGGCATTGCTTCATGCACTCTGGTGGTTTACCATGTAGGGCTTTAAACTATAAAGACCAACATCCTGAACTGGGCTTGGAAGCCTACTGGCAACCAGTACAGTGCCTTTAAAATAGGTATTATTTTACACTGATGGAATTGTCCTGCCCATAACCTTGCCACTGCATTTTGTACTAGTTGTAGCTTTGGGGTCATCTCCTAAAGCACATAAAGCAAATTACAGTATTCCAACCAAGTGGTGATCAAGATGTGATCACCAGGGCACCTGATCCAGATAAGAGTCATAACTGCTGCATGAGCCAAAGCTGAGGAAATCTCATCTCCATCCCCACCCCTACCCCATTCATGGAGGAAAACTACATATTTCAGAAAAATCATAAGTTCTATTTGTGTCATCTTCTTTGTAGGCCAAATTTACCTGAAAATCATAGGTTTGTTTTTCAAAAGTTTTTTTTAGTTGTGGACTTCTGTTTTGGGGAATATGGGACTCTCTCCTCCCTACCCCACCTCTATTTTTAAGAGTTCAAAGATTTGTCTTTGTTTCTTATATTATCTGATCCAAATGAGGTTACAGTTCAAGAAAGAGATAAAACATTGCTCTGGAGCTATTTTAGTTTACATGTGATATGAGCTATTGCTTCTCAACCAGCAATGTCACTGACATTCATTCTCTTATTCCAGAACATTTTAAGAACATAACCCTAACCCTAGCCCTGATGGATCTGGCCAGACTTTTGTTACTCACAGGAGCCAACCAGATGCTCTGGGGTGCTCAGATGCAGGTGATAGAGACGTATCCCTCTCTTGCTGTTCCCCTACTACTGGTATTTGAAGATATGCTGCCCTCAACTTGAAGGTAACATTGAGTCTCAAGTTACTAGCTTTTGATAGCCTCTCCTCCATGATTTATCCAATCCCCTTGTAAAGCTGTGCCAGTTAGTGGCCATTGGCACATTATATGGTGGTGAACGCAGCAGGTTAATTATGTGCTATGTGAAGAAGGGTGTTTTGTTTTGTTTTACTTTGTTGGTTCCAAATTTCCTTCCAGCTTCCTTGGATGATCCTTAGTGTTAATGTTCTGAGAGAAGGAGAAAAACGTGTCTCTCCATTTTCCCTGTCCACTTTCTCCATGACGTTCATGATTTTATACACATTGATCATGTCCCCCTTAATCACCTTTTTGCTGAGCAAAGGCATTCCAAGCATTCTAACCTTTTCTCATAAGGATATGGTTGAGATTCCTGATCATTCTGTTTGCTCTGTTCTGAACTATTTCCAGCTCTGTTTTAATCATTTTCAAATGCAGTGATTAGAACTATACACAGTATTCCAAATGTGGACATATCACAGATCTGTCTGAGGTCATCGTAATTTAGGCAATTTTATTTTCAATCCATTTCCTAATGGATCCCCAGCTTTTAATGTTTACAGCTTAGCAATTCACCCAGAAGCATGTTTGAATATTTATGGAATGTGTTCCAGATGGTAGTGCATTCAGAGATACATGATCCCAACTTAATTTTTCCGTTGTCATTTGTCATTTAAGCTATTAAACATTTCTATTATTTGGCATTAACCCATATATTTGGCATCACAATATGTTCTTGTAAAAATATGAGCACACAGAATAAATCCACACATACTGACTAAAAGTGGGACCCACTGTGTTCAAGTGTGATTGAAATTGCAGCTATGAATAAACAATATTATATCATCAACCAGGTCAAAGGAATTAATGTTCACAGACTCAAGTACTGTAAGATACTGTGTCTGCATGCAACTGATGTAGTAGAATTTTATCCAGGCGAGTGCCCATGTTTGGATATGATGAGTTAAAGCAAAGGATGATATGTATTTTACAAATGAACATTTGGCTGAAGCAGTCCTCATTGACCCTACTGGATACTGAAAGGGGGACAATTTCTTTTCCACCATTCTCCTAAATATAAGAAACTACAGTCAACAAAACAGAGAAATGATCCTGCAATACCATTAATTGCACATGGATACTTAAAGCTAGGAGAATGCAACTCATCATTAACATGTGAACATTGGCTGAGTTCAAACATCATACCAATCCAGAAAAAAAAGAAAGAAATCAAACTGTGGCTCAACATGATGTGTGAACTGAAAACTACCAAATCAATTATTTCCATGCATATGCACATACCTACTCCAGGCTTCTCCACTAACACATAAAAGTTGTCCAGGGCCTTCATCTCTCCCATTGTTTCTGCACATTTTGAAAGGAATTAGAGCAAGGAGATATTCTTTCAATGCTCCTTAAAAGCATTGCTCCTTAAAGTTGTGCCTCACCAGTGAGGAGTTAAAACAGAGACTAGGATTTCCTTTTGTAGCATGTGGTAGATGAGATGATCTTTGAGTTTCCCCCCAATTCTGTGATTATGTGGCTACTGCCTGTGCCATTACATCAGAAGCAAAGGATACTTCTATGGAGCTGAGAACACACTGTACTTCATATCGGTGCCTTGTTGAGTGTCCTCAGATGTCAGTAAGTCTCCTTTTTGTTGTTGGGATTCTGAAACGGAGAACAGAAATAGGAAGAGGATTTGCATTCACCACTTTATAAACAGAAAGTGATGTCTTCTGTCAGTCAATGTACGTACTTCTGAGACAGAGGACAGACTCTGACCTGTTACACAGGTCATATGAACACCTCCTCAAAAACAAAGTTTAGTTGCCTGGCAGCATTTCCATGCGTCAGACCCTTAATAGAGCTCCCAGCTGCTGCCTCACACCAGGGGAGTGAGGTAGCTTGTGTGAGGACAAACAGGTGGATGGATATGGCAATGCCCAATGTGTGGCTTCTACCACATACTACATCCACATATGGAAAGCCCAGACAGGGGGCTTCTGAAGTAGAAGCAACTGGTAGATTGAAGTATATACATTAGAAACATCCCAAAGAAATTTTGATCTAATCTGTTCCCTAAAAATCAGTGTAAGTTTACATGTAGAGGTGTGTGTATATATGTATGCCATAAAGAAGATTTCCCAGACTCGCCTCCAAATTCGGATATATTATGTACACATTATTTGCTTGGTGAAACATCAGGTGTTTCACCAAATATTTCACAGCATAAGGATCTTCGCTTAAAGATACTCATGTTTCTGGAAAACTTAAAATTTAGTAGCTCTTGGATATTCAGCCTACTTTGTCTAACTTAGTAAACATTGGAGGCGGCAGCAACAGAGCCAGGAATTTTGAAGAATCAAACTCCCCCAGGTGGCCAGAGGAGGAGGATGATAAAAGAGAGGTGCTTTCAGGATGTCCCAGGACTGCCTTGGCTGGCCTGGAATTCTGAGAGTAGTCCCAACACATTTTATGGACATCAGATTGGGAAAGGCCTACACGGCAGTTACAAATCACCAGATTTACACTGGTAATACACTGAGGTTCACAAAACACCCTAAACCATGAGATAGGTTTAGTTTTGGCTTAGCAAGTTGCATGGTTTGTAAACAAGGGTTTATAGCTTAGCACAATGTACGAATCCAGTTACTGGTTGGATACCTTGTAAAATTTTTATTTCTTTTGTTAACTTAATTCTGTGGCAGGTGGGGTTTTTTTTTTTTTGTATGTGTGTGCCTTCAAGTAAGTGTAGACTCCTGGTGAATGCCTGGACTAATCCTTGCAGTTTTCTTGGCAAGGTTTTACAGAAGTGGTTTGCCATTGCCTCTTTCCTAGGGCTGAGAGTGAGTGACTGGCTCAAGGTCACCCAGTTGGCTTTGTGCCTAAGGCAGGACTAGAACTCATGGTCTCCCGATTTCTAGCCTGATACCTTGACCACTATACCAAACTGGCTCTCTCTGACATTATGTAGTTTGTTTATTTATTTAGTCTTCTGGTTTCTAGGCTGGTACCTTAACATTTTCTAGTTAAACTGCATATTTCAAAACAGATTTTGGAAGCCTAAGAGAGAGAAAAAAATGAAGAAGTAGAGATCTAATTACACTTTAACAAATACCCCTTTGATAATGAATGTTTTTGTTTCAAATAAGGGTTCAAAATATACTATTTTTATATTCCACCTTTCTTTTGGGAATTCAAGTTGGCAGATATGGAGTCTCATTTTATCCTCACAACAATCCTGTGACATAGATTGGGCTGAGAGATACTGACAAGTTCAAGTCCCCAAAAGCTGCATGATTAAGTGAGGATTTCAACGAGGGTTCCCTATTCTGATCAGATTTAGAAAAATCACATAGAACTCAGTGAGATTCAATTACCTTAAACCTACCCTGTCAGTTCAGTTTTTCAATGGATGAAATTGTTAACAAGAGAATACATAAAGTATATTCCCAAATTCTGAGAACAGGCCAGAATACACTGTCTTACCAAAGTGACAATCCCCTGAATGATACATTCTTCGTATAGCTCAGGCTTGCTCACAGCTGCCATCATTGATCAAAAGTGAGGTAGATAAATAATTATGTGTCATACACATGCTGAAAAGCTGCTTGGTTGGTTGACCAATGATTCACCATGCTCTAAATGAATGATACCAGACATGGAAATGCTGCCTTATTAGCCTAGAAATGTATGAAATAACATTCGTCAATGGGACTATCAATAGCAAACAGGCTTTTATGAAAGATAGGTTGCCCATGTGATCCTCCCCTGCAATATGCAGTCATCAAGTGTTCAGTATTTTCTTAGATATATTCTCAGTGTCTGGATTTGCACATTGGGCTGAGCCTTAGTTTACCCATGATTTATAGAATAAAATGCAACTGTTTGAGTTCACTCAATGCTGTAGACCAAAATAATCAGGCTTATAGAATATGCTAAGTCACAAAAAAGCAAACCACATATTATCTTATTCTGTGAACCTAGACAATCTCTGTGGGCAAATAACAGAACCCACAAGTGATACATATTAAGCATGCACATGACAGACATGCAGGAACACAATAAATGTGGGAAAAAATTCCCCAAACAAAAAAAGTTTAAACTATACAAAATTCTTTGTCCCAATAAAGATAAGATCCCACACTTTATTTTAGGTTTTAGATTTCATAGTGTTGTTATATGAGATGGAGGACCTCTGGTACTCCAGGTGTTGAATGAAGACTATAACTTCATATATTAATTTGCAAATTCAAATTACATTTGAGGCAATTGCTAAACTTTGAGACTAATCTAATGTTATTAAAGAAAGCATCAACTTAGTAACATGAATCCAATTAGATTTATCCCATCAGAGAAGTCAGGTTTGAACTTTTTGACATTTAATATCCATGTCAACTGCTTTCTCAGGCTATAGCAGAGTTGTTGGCTGGCCACTTCTTAGCGGAGTTATTGGAGATGAATATTCAGGAAATAAAATCAAACACCTGTTAGGATTTTAGAACTATATTAAGACATGTGTCTAGGAAATTAAACACTGAAGTGGAGATGAAAGAGTCCCTACCCTGTTCCCTATAAACTTCCTTAGACAAAACAAATCGGCATCTGTCTCAACAAGAATAGTTCCTTGTTTTACTCTAATGTCAGTGTATACAGAGCTTTTAAACACGTATGTTGTTTTGCCTTCTATAAATTAATTCAATCAAAACAAATAGTAGAATTGTTTGCAATGAGGGAACCCCCCCCCCCACTATAACCCAGACGATATTGACGTTATTATGCCAACTGTAGTTTTATAATAGTTAACAGGCTTTTGAGTTTCTTGGAACTCTTCATTAAGTAAGATATTTAAATGCCAAAAAGAAAGAAAAGGGGGAAGGTTGATTTTTGAGCCATCCTGAGGGTTCATCCTCACATCCCCTTACCCATGACAGGAAGATGTCCCATAACTGTTTTTATTTATTTAAACAATTTTTATCACCACCCATCTCACAACAATGACTCTAGGTGGCCCCCAGAGGATTAAAGTAAAAAACAGGACATAATTTGCAAATCAACATCCAAAACAATAATATAAAACCTAGCCACGGTCTAAAAACCACTCCATTTACAGTTAATGAAGAAGAGAAGTAGACAAGGGCTGGTTCAACTTCCCAGCCCAAAATGCCAGAGGAAACATCCAGGTCTCTAATGTCTTATGAAAGGCCAACAGGTTTGGGGCCAGCTGGATCTCCAGGGGAAAGCCATTCCATAGGGTAGGTGCTATGACAGAGAAGGCATGACTCAGGTCCCACAAGATAACATTTCCTAACGGAAGGGAAATGGAGCATGCCAAACTTACCAGTACCTTTAAAATTTTTGTTATGATGCTGCCCTTTTCTCATGCTGAGCCTACCTCGGATACATATTTACCTGATCCAGTTTTAAAGTAGTGTTTCCCTCTTCTCCCAACAATGGAATCAGAGAACTGTTGGGTAAAGAGCCAGCTCTGTCCCTCCTGTCAGCCAGCCCAAAAAAGAGCTGACAAGAGATTAGGGGCATGGGGGGATACTAGGGCTTCACCACATGGCCCACCCAATCCAGTCAGGCTGTTTTCAGACTACTTTTAAAGACAGGTTTGGTGCTCTTGTGGAAGAGTGCAAGATCCATGTTTCAAAATAACTCTCCACTTCTCCTGCCAGCCTGAAAAACAGGTGACAGGCAAGAGGCTAGTCTACCCCCACCCTTGTCTGTCACCTGTTTAAACATAGATCTTGCACTCTTCCAGAGGCGCACTAAACCTGTGTTCAAAAATAACTTTACAAACAACTGATGATGGGAAAGGAGCCATCAACTACCCCCTGCCAATTAGCTGTGTTTAGAGCTATCATCTCTCTTGCTTTACCAAGCTGTGATCACCCGCAAATCTACAGGACCTGATCTGCAGAGCAGGCTAAGGCTTCAACCCATCCCATGGATGATTTGTGGGGTACCTGTTGCCTTACAAAGCAGAATACTGACAGCTCAGGACCAAGTTTTGACAAATGGTTAAACCCATGATCTAGTTGTCTATTAAATATTTCCTACTCCCTTAGGGAACTATTGGTGGTTGTTTTCCCCACCAGCAGGTGACACCAAAGGAATCCAACAATCAATTTCCTTAAGTTGTCCAGTATCACATCTGTAAAGACAACATCAGTCATTGGCCTCATTACTAGCTCTACAAAGAGGACAAAGCCTGCTAGCATAGACTGGAGGAAAGCACAATAGATGGAATATAGGGGAGCCTCCAGAAAGGCAAATCAAGTCTTTTCAGATATAATGTGTTATTGAGTTGAACTAGGGGCTCTCCCACAGGTTGCTACGAAGGGCTGAGTCCCCTATTTTCTGATAATATAAATTCCAATTGTTAAAAAGTTAAGGCTCTTTTCATCCTATGCAAGATACTTAGGGTCTTGGCTGATGGAAAATAGAAAAATCAAATAGATATTTCTATAGTTTTATACTCAGTTTGATTTTAACTGATCATATTTCCTGTGCTATTTATTTACTATATTTTTTCCTCTTTTTCTTGGAAATGGTTCCTGTTTAAAGTAATTTTGCAATCAGCCCACAGAACTTTCATTATAATAAACAGGCAGCTGTACTATTAAATACAACAAAGGCAATCAATGTCAAATCACCTGATTTAGTTATCCCATTGTACTTCGTAATTGCTTCTTTTAGAGAACTTTGAAGTTCCTTATATTTCAAGGTATTTCACAAAGTACCTTGGCTGTCTCTCATTTTCAGTATTTGTTATTTCTGAAAGAATGGCAGTATATAAACAGTCAGTAAATAAATAAAAGTTCATTCTATACTAAAATGATTACAGTGGCTTCAGAAACACCACTTGTGCCCTGCTGGCTCTACCTTAATCTAAGAGGGGAAATGGTATTGTTATGACTGATTGTATGGCTGAAGGCAGGTGTGTAAGTGGATATTTATTTTATTTCTTAGAGTTATACCTCATCATTGTTCCAGAAGCTCAAGCAGCTTATGTAACATTTGCTCTTCCAGTTTTCCCCTCAGCAATAAACCTGACTGGCCCAAAATTTCTCCAAGAACTTCCATGGCTGAGCGAGACTTGAACCTTGGTCCCTTGCCCTGATCCAGCCAGTGACTATCTCCACCATCTTCTTTCTTTCACTTCGAGTTTTATGCCAAACTGCTGAAGATCCATCAAGCCCATGAATTTCAAGGCAGGGCTCGAATTTTCAGAAGAAAGGGGTGGGAGGCTCCAGTCCTTCCCCATATGAGGCCCTTTAATTTCCAACATTTCCTCCGAACGAATTAAGAATAGATACTTCACGGCCAAGGTCTGCTTAGAAAACTGCCCCGCGAGCAGAGCCGGCGTATCCCGCAGCTACTCCCGCGCGGAGTTACCGAAGCCACCGCTCGCAGCTGCCGGACCCTCTAATCCGGGCTCCCCCTCCCGTGCAAACAGGTGGGCCACCGCGAGCGAGGAGGGGGCGGTCCGCAGGGCGACTCCTGGAC